TTTCCGAGAGACGGTCCACGCAGCTTCTTGCCAAAGATTTTCTTCGCCGAGTGGCTGAATCAAGCTGATCAAGGGTACAATGTTCCGAACTACGGCGATGCGTTTGATTATCGCTCAAATCTTCAGGACCCTCTTGTGCATGATTTCTGTACAAGTGATTTTGGAAATTTTTATGGCAGTGAGTATGTTGGTAATGAGCTACGTAATGGGTCTGCATGTGCCAGTGTGAGCGACATGTATAGTTCACAGTTGAAGTTGGAGATGGATCAGGTTTCGGGAGGTGGGTATTACTTGGATTATTTTTCTGGGGATGATATTTGTAGTCAGTTCGACATGGGCAGTGATGTTAATGTGATGATGTACACATGAGGGGGGGTCAATCTTTGTACTTACATGGGGCGTGCAATAATGGAGGGAGAATAAATTGTACCGTACGTAGTCATATTTTGGTTTTGTGTATGTTTTCATTAGACCCCTCAAACGGATAGTTCGGATTGCATAAAAAATGATCTGACCTAAATTGTTTAATTTAACATGTTTTGATCCATTGTCATGCAATATAAATTTAGTGACCCATATCTGACAAAACCTATATCCGACCCGACACATATTTGATAAAATACTTTCATATTTAACATAATCTAGGAAAATTCATACCCAAAGTGAGGTGAGAGCGTGGAATGAGTAAACGTGAACTCGAGTGAGGCCAAGAGAGAGTGAAGAGAGAGTCATAAAGGTGGGTTGGGTTTAAGTAAGTTGTGAATCCATTTAACACCCATATTATTGTAGGCTTTACCATTATAAACTTACTTGTAACACATTCTGAATATAACTAACTCATACAACAATTTAGCCCATCAAATATAGGTTAAGAAACCCGCTATGACTTGTTTTGACTCATTTTCGTCAATGAAATACATGGCGTACCCAAAAAGGGATGAAAAATAGAAGAGAGTGGATGGCACAAACCCTAGAAGAGTGCCAAATGGATGGGTAAATAATGTTACTCAATGAAATTGGCGTCGGTAAGTAAAAGCACCTCCTGCAAGTTAGAAGAGAAGAGACTTTCATCTGAAATCGTTTTAATAAACCAGGGCAGTTCAAAAACATGAAGCTTCTTATACTGTAGACTATGAAAAGTCGGATGTCGGTTAACAAACTCCTATTTTACTTGCTCATTTCAAAAAATTCAAGGTAGAGATCAAGTTGGAACTTTCCTGAACATATTGACACCCAATCTTATTAAAATCTCGAGCTTTTATAATGCAGATTAGATATAGATTAATGCTACATATGTCATGTTTAGTATCTGACGTGGGACTTCTTGTTGCACTAATTGACACCAGTAATGTGAACCTCAAGAACGCACTACAGAATTTTTACAATTTTTTCGCTCATGCATGCAATTTGACTTCGTTTTTTTACACCTAATCAAGCTTTTGACCTTTTTTTTACGAGCCTTAGCAGTAGTTGGACAATTAAAATACAATAAATGTGATTCGCATGGTCATCCTTAGCAGAATTCAGTAGTTCTGTGTAAAAAAGTTTGAATTCTTTTTCTGGGCAAGTAAAGTTTAATAACGTGTTGGTAAGTGTCAAAAAACCGTTGGTAACAAGAATGATCTCTAACATTTTTTTTTTCAATAACTTGTTGGTAACTTACTTACATTTTAATGAAAGTGTCAACTCTTTTGATTGTTTGCAAACCACCAATTTTTATGCTAACTTATCTACTTTTTATAATAATTTACTAACGCTTGAATTTTCTAACTATTACATAAAATCACAAACCTAGATAAGAGTAGCCATTACCAATTTTTACTCAGATTAAATTACAACTAGTTTTGGTCTACCAAAGTTTTATATGAGTTACTTATCAATGTTTGTTTTTTTTTGTTAATAATTTATCAATCATTTTTGTAGAGTTATACAACTTTTATTTGTTCCTCTTTAGCTTTAGTTACTCTTTTTAGAGATATATTATAACCTATGCGTGATTCGCCGACTTTTCTTCACTTAAATTATTAATTAATATTGGGTCACCAACTATCACATTTGGGTTATTTACTGACGTTCATTAATTAGTTTTTTAATTTGCCAACTTTTCTTATCGTTTACAAGTTTTTGATTGCCTTTCTTAACAACTCTCGAATTTACCAACTTTTCTTAAAAAAAAAAAAAACTTACTGGGAGAAATGATAGTAAGTCATACAAGCAAAGGTCAATAAGTTCATACAAGAGTTGCTAAATCCAAGGCTTTTCCTAAGAACGAAATATAAAATTAGGAAAATGATGACAAAAGTTGATAATTTGGAAATAGGATCAAATAAACATTGGTAATTAACTCCAATGAGATTGATAATTCAAAGATATTGATAATTTGATCGGAAAAAAGTTTGAGAATTAAGATTAGTAAATTCACATTAGAGTTGGTAAGTTTAAAGCATTTGGTAATAAAAATTGGCAAAAAGATAATAAAAATCAAGTACTTGCAAGCTGTAAAAAAAAATAAGTTGGCAATTTCATAAAAATGCTGGCAAATTATAAATAAAATTTAGGTGATCGTAATTTGTCATACCCATCAGTTTTTCTTTTAGACTTGCTATCTCTCATAAAAATTTACCAGAACACTGGAAAAAAGATTCTATTTTTTTTACAATGAATAGAGGAATCGTTCCTATTTCTAACATTTAAATTATATAACACAAAATATTGCAAAATCAGCTTGAAAAAGAGAGGAGTTTTTACGAAAAATCAGTTTAATGGCTGGAATGGCATCAGAGAAAGAGAGGAATTTTGACGACAAAGTTCGAAGTATTTGTTCTAGACGTGCTTGTGTTTTCCCAGACTCCTGTCCTTTGCAACACCCGCCGAGTTCGGCTGCCTTTCTGTTCTCGCCTCCTCCGCATGGGCACCGACTTCTTGCTCTTCCATGGACGGTGACCGCCCCGCTCGTACTGGCAGTGCGGCATGGACACGCCAGCCTACCCAGAGCCCTGCTTCTCCCATCAAACACTCCGATCCTCTTAGACACTATCGAGATACATTTACTCTCACGAGCTCGATCACTCAAAGCCCAAAGTTTCAGACAAACTTGGACATTCTTAGTCACCAGGGCGACTCGTTTCATTCGTGCATGGGACGACTAGTCCAATGCGACACCTTTCAAACTCGTCAACCCCATTGCAGGTTCGCTAATCGGACTTCGTTGATCGCTCATCCCCCGTTACCTATGGATCTGTTATACTACTCTTATCAGTGCATTCGTTTTTCTATAACTTGTGATTCGTACTAGTTCAATTATGAATGTAATTATTTGCTTACCAACATATCCTATTGCGTAGAGCATGTCTCTCGGCGTGCAGAGACTCTCTTGGTCCATACGTTATTCAGTTGACCGAGCTTGTTCTCCTGCTAATTTCCACACACTTGATTTATTTTTCATTGATTAACATAGTACACCCAGGAAAATGAAAAGGGAATAATGGCATGGAAAAAGCTTCAAGGACTTTCTGCCTTGACTTTGTATGTACACACAACGGAAGGGAGGAGTTATTCACCCACTTCGCTAGGTGCAGAAAACTGTAATTAAACAGAGATTCACACACACCATAGCCCACCACCTACTTCCGTTGAATCTACTGTTTATATATGTAATAAGGCCTTACGTTGTCACCTAACGAAGCAAGTCTTTTGTAATTGTTTTGTAGCTGGGGAAAACTGCTTACGTTGAGTCTTTGACTCTCTTATTGGACGTCTACTTCGCATTATTGATTTCTTTGAATGATCTTTGTGACGGAAACTCCCGAGTCCATGTGAAATGACCTTTATGTCACAAAGGGGAAAACATAGGGCTAAGAAAAGTCTATTCCACGTGAAATGAAGAAGAGTATGGAGCATGATTGTTCTGAGATCACAAAATTGCTGTCATTAAATTATGGGTTAATACCACGAAAAATGGTACACCTGTGATAAATTTACCTAAAACTATTTTTTTGATCACAAATAACACCAAACTGGTACACCTGTGACAATTTCACCCCGAACTAATTTTTTGATCACCAAAAATCCCAAATCGATACAACTGTGACAATTTTATCTCGAACTAATTTTTTGACCATCGAAAACCCTAAACTGGTATACCTGTGACAAATTTACTCTCCTTTAGTTTCCGTTAAATTTTACTATCAAATTGCTAAGTTTGATGACACTTGGTAGTTGACGGGTGTACTAGTTTGAGGTTTTACCCCTCTGTTTGTCACAAGTTTATCAATTTGTGACTTTTCGTGATATTAATCCAATTTAACGGATACTAACGGAGGGTAAATTTGTTACAAATGTACTAGTTTTGAATTTTTAGTGGTCAAAAAATTAGTTTGGGATAAAATTGTCACATTTGGGGTTTTTGGTGATCAAAAAATTAGTTCGGGGTAAAATGTCACAAGTGTACCAGTATAGGGTTTTTGATGGTCAAAAAAATAGTTCGGGGTAAATTTGTCACATGTGTATCAGTTTGGAGTTTTTGGTGATCAAAAAATTAGTTCGGAGTAAAATTATCATATAATTTGAGGTTTTTCGTGGTATTAACCCTATAAATTATTTAGTATTAGAGATTCGTGGCCAAAAGCTAGAAAGCTGAAAGTAGATGATGGTCCTGGCCCTTAAGTCATTAGAACTTGTTTACTTTGACCAAAAGGTTGGGCTATTCCAAGCCCATTGAACTTGCCAAGCTCGGCCCTTGACTTGCAGCCATCTCTCGTGTTTTCTTTGGCGAGATTTCTCTTTGGGAAATTAGGAAGCTATTATCGTTCCGTACGAACATGAGGGTATTGATGAAGACATAAGTTTTGGTAATAAACCTCTAATTGGCCCTGAAGTTGCTTTTCTTTAAAAAATTAGTGACGATTTTTGGATGCATGGATAGATTGGACAAAAAAAAAAGTTCGGTTAGAATTGGGTTGTACCTAAAGTTGGGGTTTTTTTTAAAGGAATCGGCCCTATTTACTAGGAAAATGCTACATTTATTCAATAGCAGTCAAGATGTCCCCCCAACATGTCATTCTAACCCCTTTGATGAGGAATTTTGCATGTATGAATACATCTGTTTACAACGTGTATATACGCGTCTAGATATATAGTAGGCCTATCATTTGTGACTCATTGTGATTATACAGTGTCAAGTGAGAAGCAAACAAAATCAAGGATCATCAATTAAGGATTGGCCATCATCTTTCATTCTTTTCCATGGGATCATCACTACTAATCATCATCACAGCTGATTTTTCTGGCATCACGGACTGAAACATTTTGATTGCATCGACTGAGATTCTAAGCTTTAGACAACGAAACTCTCTGTGAGGTTCACACTTGCCCATAACAGAACAATGGCAACCGAGACAAGGAGAATGATAGGCGTCCATTTCATCGCTATCGCCTATGGCAAAACAAGTTCATCATATCATTGTTAACTAAAGACCATGCCAGATCAAAGGGGGAAAGGTTATCTGCACAATTTATACAATCGCAAATCCTTGAAGTCATGACTTGATCATATAGCTATATAATCTGTCCACGATTTGGATGATATTTACGTGTAAACTGGGATCCAGATCTGTCTACATAGAGTGAAAGGACTTGACAGTTTAGTAGTTTACATACCTCCATGCGTGAGGAACCCCAGATAGGCGAAACAGTTGCATTCATCGCCATCGAACTTTCCAGAATTTCTGGACATAAGAAAATATGTCGATCTGGTTATTTCCATTTTGTAATTGTATGTTCAGGCGATGAGGCAAAATCAGATTCGAAAATGAGAGGGACCTTCACTTAAATATCTCCTTCTTCTGGCAATCTCTGAAACATGCGTTGTCATTATGTCGACGTCCTTTTTACGGACCGCGTTAAGCTTTGACAGATTGGCTTGGGTCCTTGTATCGATGTACCGCTTCCTAATGTTCCCTATCACACTCTCTGTGACCCAAAAATAAAGCTCTATGAAAGGATATATCCGTGTTATTAAGACCCATTTCATCTTATACTACTACCCTCTTGATGCGGCACGAAAACGACTCATAGCAGCGCTAATCAATTAATTCTTTTCCACTTCTTCTCTTAAAATGAAAAAAATTTAACAGAAAAACGAAAGAAATTTGTGAGCTGATTACTCTTAACATGAACATGTAAAACTTCTAAAGATTTACCGAATTTCACAAAGCTGTATGGTCTGGTAATTTTGTCTAGGATTCGTTTGTCAAACTTGTCAAACTCCGCGTGCAAATCTTGCAGATAATGGAAAGCAAGCTTTCTTGGATACGACGATTCGCACAACACAATAAAGCAAACACCATCCTCCACCAAGTAGCTAACATATAAGAAATGCAATGAAAATTAATCATACAAATGTCCCCTCGAATGAAAAAACAAGTGGCCCTATTAGTCTCCACTAGTTTTACAGATTCTTCCAGTCGGTAATAATATTTTCAATCTATCTCATCAAATTCAAGCCCAAAAGGAAAATTTGTGCGAAAGATGCTCAACACTATGCTTGACATTGACATTCTCTACTAAACCTCTTCTATCCTGGGTATACCAAGAATATTTGTACGTAATCGACCTAACTCTCGCGGTGCACAGTGACATTGAAAAAATTATTAATATCACAAAAAAATGCTTCATCTTCATAGATAAAATTCAGAAGCACCCGTTCGAAGTTATGAATAATAACGTTGCTATTGATAAAAGAATGAAAAGAAATACTGGAAGCAATGGTGATCGACGTGAACGGTCATCTTGGAAGACTCCAAGGCTCCTCTTGCGATTTCTTCGAGTACAAGTTCGGCTTGTTGCTTGTAAAACCCAAAGATGCCGTCGTCATCGGTAACGTACCGACGACCTTGTGCGAGAGGCAAGCCATCCTTCACCCTTCCCACAATTGTTAGCTTAACCATCCCTCAACAGAATTTTTGGCTCAGATCACAAGTTCTGTGGTGATTGTATGGAGAAATTGAAGAAAAGCTCTTTTTATAAGGCACAAAAGAGAAGGGAATGACAAAGAAAAGCTTGGACACTAAGTTATGCTTTTTGGTCATTCTGAAGAAACACTAGCCGGTGGGGAAGGAAAACCCATCTTTAGAAAAAGGACCTCGAAATACTTTTGAGACAAAAAGGTTTCAAGCACCCGCAGAATATTTATTTCCTTAAACATGATTTCCTTTAATCTGTTGATAAAGTTCACAGAAGGTAAGAGGAAGTTGAATGAAGAAGATACCGATAGAGGCAGAAAAAACAACCATTGATTATTTTGCTTGAGTGTGATCGATTAGGACATCAAGCTGCATATGGTTCCTGAAGAAATCTAGGAAAATTGGATTTTTACACACGTCAGAAGACATTGCTATGGATAATTTAAACCATTCATTGAAGTCATACCCTTTGGTAAACACTCTTACATGTCACATGACCTATACAAACTTGATACCACCACAAATATCTTCAGATGAGCTATAGTTAACTGCTATACAAGATTTCTTTATATGCTCCAGAAGAAAACGACACACTCACTCGAGAACTATAAATATGAACAGCAAGAACTTCAATGAGCAATGGCTATTTATCCACTTTTAAGCACACCACAAGGAGATGGACACAAACGGAGCTGGAACACGGAGATTTTGGAAGACTTTCATTCCCCCAGGATGGATAGTTCAGCCTCCAAAGCAGACGAGGAGCTTCCTCGGAACAAGTCCAGTTGCGCGATACTTAGCAGCCATCTCCTCTGCCTTGAGGCGATCTTCCCCTTTCTTGGCTTCCACAATTGCCCTCCTTTCTTCAGCGACCTTGTGGATCAAAGCAATCCTGTTCTTCATTGTCTCTGCATATTTGGCTTTCTTCTTTTCCAGTTTTTCCTGCTAGCAGGCAAGTAATGAGATTTTAACAGAAACCACAGCACATCAAAGTGCCCGCTTCTCTTGTTACTAGTATACCAGGGATCTTCTACCAGCAACTCATCTGTAATCTAGACTCAATCAGAAGCACGACTGTTTGTTCCACACGCGCAGTTACTCATTTATGAATATAACATATTACTTCTTTGAAGTAAATTGGCTAGAACAACTGTATGGCACACAAAAGGATTACACGTGCAATAGAAGCATGACTTGGAGAAATGAGAGGGAAAAATTCACAAGTCTAATACAGCTACGAAGGAACTAAGAAGAACTAAGAAGAAAGAACTACTACAAGGTCCTCTAAATGATGAATTTGAGATGTACCGGAATTGTGAGTGGGGAGTGTGGAGCAGCATGACTAATACAAGAATGTAGCACTTTTGAGACTTAACGAAAAGCAATCCAAATAACTGAGATAAAGAACAATATAAATGCAGGATTACCTCAATCTTTTTGAGGTCAGCCTCAATGGAAGCTTTTTTGCTGTTCTCCCATGATCCAATTGTGGAGAGCTTCTTCTGAGCTCTGTTTAGTGATCGAAGCAGGACTTTAGCATGCAATTTCTAGCTCTTTTGAACGTACTAATGGTGAGTAATAATAATATTTGATCCAAAATTCCATAATTTACAGCAAGATTATGGCATAACAACAGGAACAGTAGACTAAATAGCATCTCTTACTTGTTTTCTGCCTTTGTTTTCTCACTTTCTTCCCATGCTCTAATCAAAGACAACTTCTTCTCCGTCTCAACTCTGGCAAGCTCAGCATCTGATCAAGAAGCATAGAATCAGTGAAGTAAAGTCCATCAGTGAAGTGACCTAGTGAAATTATAAACACATAAAGAGTATAAAGAACAAGAGAAAGAGAAAGTTAAAAAACATAGACACTTGAACATCAAAATTACCTCGATTAACAGAACCTTCATTACTTTTCTCCACTGGGGTCTCAATTGGCTCTGCCCACAAAAAAGATTCAAAACCCCAGTTCAGCAACAGAAAGAATCCGTGCAGATCCTTTGCTTCAGTGTCCTAACACTAATTAAACCATCAACTAAGCTGTGCTAAGCTAGCTCAAGCGTTCAAGTAAGCTGTAAATTTCAAGGTGAAATGGTGAAGATAACTAAATTTTACACCAGACATGCTACAAATCAGTTAAATTACTCAACAAATGTCTTGAAGCCTTACAGGAACTTAATTCAAGAGAGAAAAACAGTGGATTTAACTATAATTAAAAAAAGAAGAAGATTCTCATACTAAGATTCTCGTGAGTTGATATATATATTTGATAGAGATACAAAGAATGAAAAAGAAACATGGAAACTTACTTTCAACCACAGCAAGAGCTTTGGTATCCTCTGCTTTTTCTTCAGCAGGAGGAGGAGGAAGAGGTGGAGGTACGGCTGACTTCTCCTCCTCAACGGGTGCGGGTTCGGGTGGGGGATCTTGACGCTGAGGGGGCTCGGGTTCCACCTTCTTGGGCTCATCCTCTGCCATTTTCTCGAGGACCTTACCTTTTTGAGAGCTTGGAGTTCACATAATTATTGAAGATGAGAGAGAGAGAGACGAGTAGCAGTTGAGAGAACTTGAGATATGGTACAGTTGGTTAACTGTGTAGCTCAAAAGCCAAACGCACAGTTGCCACTTGCCAGGTGACCCACATGCCGTCGGAACCGCATACACAACGCAGTCATTTTAATCACTTTTCCCATATGAGAATATTGACTCTTGGTCATATTAGCGTTTTGTTTTTTTTAATCCCGAATAGGGTGCTCGGATCGCGCACTTTAATAATTTCATACGACTTTAACAATCCGTACGTTTCATCCGCATTAAATTAGCGTACATGTCTATCCTTTCAAAATTAAAAACAGTACAACGTATAGATCGCTAAGTTATGGATCCATTTTCTAGATTTTCCCAAATTTTTCTCCAAACTACAATTATTTGAAAGCCCCTAGGTGAGCTCTTGTGGTAGCTTACATGTACACCAACGATAGCCATCTTAATCCCATGCTTCCTAGTGCTCTTGTAGAAATCAAGATAGTACTATAAAAAGTTTGTTGTTTTTCATCGTCAGTCATGTCCCACTCGCATTCATTTCACATTAAACATATCCTATCATAACTCAATGTAGTTAAGATGACTTGCAAGAGCGTGAAGTTTACGTTTGAATTTGGGAATGACAAGACAATATTTAACGAGGAGGAAACTGATAGCTTGCCCTAAACTGGGTGCAAAAAGGATTAAATATATAGTGCAAGTTGTGAGGAATTTGTCCATTCAACTTAGTTGTCTATGTTGGAATTTGTGGCTCTCGTCACTTTCGTGGCCTGTGGGGCACAGCAGATGTCGAATCCGCTTTCAAAAATCTCATTCGAATGCATATCAATATCATATAATAATAGTTGTCTTTACTTCTAATCTCAAATTATCATTGTAGGTCTAAATTTTTGTCGGGATATATTCTGGAGTTAGATGAAATGTTTGAAAATAGTTAATGAACTTCCCTCTCATGACTTTAATAATTGATTGGGAAGAAGCATCGTCCGCTTTTTTGCTTTTCAACAAAATCACTAATGAAGAAACCAGGACCACTTGAGTAAGCACTGTGCCTAAATGGATCATACACCTGGACATATGAAGTTTTTGGTAAATATGAAGAAAAGTTGTCAAGAAGTTTGTAAAACAATCTTGACATGCCTCTTAACTGGTCATTCACCGGCACGGCATTACCCCTCGCTTATTATGTAACCGAGAACAAATTAATGAGCATTGTCAAGTATACTGAAATTGATCGATGAAATAGATTTATGAAGTGTTTCAAAGATTGTAAGTAGACATTTAAATAAATGGACCAGATTTAATACCTAATAACACCCTTGTCACATCACCTAGTATATCAACTCAATACATCAACCTCGGTAGACTTGGCATTTCTCGTGCTAAACCTCAATCTCTAGAAACGTTGGGCCAAGCCAGTTTCACGGTGCATACTTCCACAACCCTCCATCATGATCAACTGGCAATAAACAATTTAAACAGATGGAAAGCTCTTCCCCAGCTGCAGAATAGCTATGCTCATCTTCTTCAGGAGGGGCCTGAGATCTGCCTCATAATTACACCTATAGAGGAAGGATAAGAGTGTCAAACGGGATGGTGATATTCACAGACTATGTATGTCTCTTGCTTATGTTTTGCATGTGTTGTAGGGTGAGAAAAATGCACATCCATCCATTAACTTACCAACTTTCATTTGCATAACTTACTTTCGAACTTATCAACTTTTACATGAAATTACCAACCTAAATTAGAGTAATTTATCAACTTTTGTCAGATAAAATTACCAACTATGGGTAAAAAATTTCCATTTACGGTACTTATTAAAGTTTAATTGTTTTCTTTAAGTTATCAACTTTTTAATTAACATATAAATTTTTCTTAGGCTTGATTAGTAACCTTTTTCATTCACTAGCTCTTTTTAGAGATTACCAGTCTAAACTAGTGTGACTCATCACCAACTTTTCACTTATTAAATTACCATATACTATTACATCACTCCCAAAAAAATTACCATATACTATTGGATTGCCAACTCTCGTTTGAATTTATTACTGACATGTTTTTTAATTTGCCGACTTTTCTTATCATTTACATATATTTATTAGCATTTCTTAGCAACGCTAAACAGCAAATCACTAGTCGAGGATGATTTTCACCACCTTAATCCAACTAGAGGCAAGTCTTAGCCAGTTCACTTATTGGAGTGCACAAGCAAAAGAGCATTTATATGTTGACCTGCACTGCAATTATATGTACTGCTAGTCACATTGAGGTTACTCAAGATAAAAAATGAAATACGAACGTATCAATTTCTATCGCCAAAACTTCATGAAATTATGAGTAGTCACAATAGAAACACTGAATTTTCATCAACCATCCTATAAATGCCAATGCAAACATTGAAAGTGCAAGGCAATGGCACGATCTTTAGAGGGCTAAGAAAAGAAGAACATTCATGCTCATAATGAAGATCTTGCACATCTGATAAAAAAATGTAAAGAAAAGTTTCAGCCAGATCATACAGATTTGGCCAATTTTGTAATCCATGTATCACCGAGACAGCTTTAGTGTAGAGAGAATCAGACGTCTTCGACCGAAAAGCAATTACTGAGCTGACCCTAGTAAATAAAATCAGTTGTCCTGAAAGTTACCCATAATGCTAAGATTGGTCTTCTGAAAATTTATGACTTTCACCAAAATTTAGAATCTTTATCTACCCACTATTACCAGCCAAATCCGCAGATTAACAACTAAATACGGATATCAGAACATCTATTTGAACAACCCTGAAAAGAAGACAGACTTGGTCTCGAGTGGTGTTGTCTCGGTGCTTCGTCCTACTACTCCTCTGTCTCCACCAATGCACAAACTACATGTCCATCTATCCGATTTAGCCAGCTGCAATGGTCCAAAACCATGCAAAAGGATTACTAAATTTGTCATCACTGCTTTCCCTTAAGGCTGCATTTGTATTACAGCTTCGCTTTTATCCCCTTTATCGCAATATTGGCCACGTTGTCCATATTAGGCATCCATTTCTATTCCATCAGTTTCCCTAGTTTCAGCTAGTTCTTTTCCCTTCGACTTTCTAGTATCAGCAAATCCCTCCATTTCTCCTCTCTGAACTTGTGTAACCACGTGAAGAATCACCAAAGGTGTGGATGCAGGATCAGGCTCCCAGCATCCAATAGGAGCATTTGCACCTTCTTCACCTGTAAGCAAGTGAGCGAGGACCTGATGAGAGAATTGGAACATCTCTTCTCTTGGAATCGTCCATCGTTTACGTGGATCCAAATGCTTTTGAAACACAGTCTTCAAGCCACAAACTTTAATGAGTGGAGCAACAGTTACACCATGGTCCTCCCTGCAGTCTTCAATCACTTCAACCATATGGTAACTGTGTTACCTCATTTGGAGTGAACTCGTTCCAATCAGAAGACCACTTCCTATACAGAGCCCAAACATCTCCCTTCAAGGGATAAATTTGAATTAAGCCCCTTGCGCCTTTCGTCCACTTCATCATGTGAGAGAAAGCATTGAGGGAGCCATAGACGACAGATTTTCCAATCCGCAGATTCAATGTTATGACATTGTGGACCAGAACCTAGTAACGAGGCATCCCATCATCATCCTTATAAGCAGCCCAGACTTGATCATCGGCAAACGAAATCTTTGTCTGGTTGTTGTCAAAATCAAGAAAATCAGGCTCTGCAACAAGCATATGCTTGGGAACAAAGCTCTCCACTTTAGATTCAACATTAGGAATGGCATGGGAAGCCTTTTTGATCGGAACTCTGTCTTTACCGTCCAGAGGCTTCCTATGCTTAATTGCAACAGTTTTTGCACCATTTACTGGGGCTTTCTGCTCTTCGCTGTACTTCTCCTTGACCTTTCCTTTTGAAGAATTTAGTCCATCAGCAGGTTCTTTCTCAATACTCCACTCATCAAGCTTCTTAGAAATTTCCTTCTTTGCTTTATGTATCAACATCTTTTGTGTTTTTGTCAGAGATAGATCCCTCAGACCGGTGAACTAATTAATCATGCTGAAATTAACCCTTCTCCTATCCTCTAGTCGGCTCTTTCGAGATTTAGACGTACTTCCTGCTCTAAGTCCTCTACTATTTGTGAATGCCGCTTAGCTAGCATCCTCTGTGACTTTCCAATTCATGCCACCTTCATCAACCAACCTTTCTTTAATCCCTTTAGTTTCTATGGAATTGACATCAGAAGACATGCTCACTGAACCTCTACTAGACAAAGAATCATCTCCAAGCACTTCTCTTTGACTGCAGCTGCTGCCTCTTCACAACCTCTCTTCCGATGCCAAACTACACGCTCATACACGTCTGAAAGAGGAGAATATGATGCAGACGCTGGGGCAGTTTTATCATTTGCAAATTTGGTTAGTGTGCCATATGAAGAAGTGACCTTTTCCAGCAAATGAATACCAAAGAAGCTTGTCGAACCTGCATTGGTGTACACGTTGTGCTTCAGAGGAAGCCTTTAAATTAGATGAACTATTGCCATCTATTGGTGGAGGTGAATCTCAATAGCAACATAGGGTTAACGGCAGCTGCGATTGCGGCAACGAAGTTGCTTGTTTAAGTAGCAGATTAAGGGAATGAGTTCACTCTGAGTGAGGTAATACACATCTACAATATGGTTGAATTGATTGAAGATTGCAGCGAGGAGTTGTGTAACCATTGCTCCACTCATCAAAGTTTGTGGCTTGAGGACTCTGTTTCAAAAGCATCCTGATCCAAGTAAATTACGGACAATTCCAAGAGAGGAAATGTTCTGTTTCTCTCATCAGGTCCCTGCTCACTTGCTTACAGGTCAAGATGGTGTGAATACTCCTATTGGATACTGGGAGCTTGATCCTGCATCCACACCCTTGGATCTTCTTCGATTGGTAACGCAAGTTGGGAGGAGAAATGGAAAACACTGCTGCTACAATCAAGCAACACTTGCTTGCTGATACTTCGAAGTCGAAGAAAAAGAAGTCGCAGAAATTGGAGAAACGACTGATGGAAAAGAATGGATGTCA